TTGCCCAAGGTCACACAGAAAATCTATAGGGCTTTTTAATTTTTTTAAAATAGAATTCTTTTCTTTTTCTGCTATTTTTAGTGCACTCCTTTTTTTTTCTCATTAAACATACACACACAGAGACATACTGACACCCATAAATGAAATTCACATGTTGTACTGCTTAATTTCCTTTTGTAATTTTTAAAATTTAATCTCTTTTGTAATTCTAGTTAGTTTATGTATTGATGTTTTTCAAAAAGTCCCCTCTCAGCATCTATTGTTGGACATCTGTTTTTGCTTACATCTTGATCTTTTCATCTAAAAAAAAAATACTTCACTGCCAATGAAGGAAGACAACAAAACTAGATAAGTAAAACTCTACACAGATCTTTTTCTTTAAGCTGCTATACTACTTTCTTCCCTTTTGTCATATTTTTCAAAATTACTGCTGTATGCCTATTTTCTTTTGTTCTATATTTGCACTTTTCTTTGTTAGCAATGGTTTGGAGGTTTTTAGCCACAATGACCTTCTAATAGATGACTCCAATGGACCTGTGATTCTGAGTATTCTTCTTAATGTTTCTAATTCCTTTAATCACATAAGAATTTTTTTTTCTTTCTGGAAATGTCTGAATACTGGGCTTTTTAGTTTCAAATATGATCTGATTTTTTTTGCTCACTTGTTTTTGTATCCCTTTTTGCTGATCCATCAAATATGGCCCTTATATGTATGTTTTTTTTCAAACAGCTTTAGGGATTTCAATCCATGCACCTAAATCCCATACAGATTACAGCATCTCTTCCCTGCCTCTATTGTATTGGAAACTCGATTGTGTTGTATTTTGAGTGTTTCTGTAGCCTATAAGACTTATGAGTTTTCCAGTGTGTAGAACTATTGTTGAAACCTTGTAACATAATGGGTGCAAAATAAATATGTTAAGTGGATTAATGACTGAATCCAATCATCCACACAGGCTTGCTTCAAAAGCGCCATGCTTATTCCTTCTCATGGCTGCCACCTTCTTTCAACCTTACCCCCTTGCTAGATAAATGTTTCTCTATAGTTCAAAATGTCTTGGTATAATCATTTGCCTGCCTTCAAATTTCTTCTTCCTCCTTTTTTTGTAAGAAATGATCAGATTGTGTTTTCTATCTTGACCCTTTAATCACATCATTTGCTCACCCAATTGAATTCTTTTCCACCACCAATTTTTTTTAGAATCATCTTTTTTTTAAAAAAAAAAATTTATACTTGTAGATGGACAGCATTCCTTTATTTTATTTGTTTATTTTAATGTGGTGCTGAGGATCGAACCCAGTGCCTCACATGTGCCAGACAACTGTTCTGCCACTGAGCTACAGCCCCAGCCCCTAGAATCATCTTCTTTGAGTTCTCCTGCTTGCCTTACTTGTTCAGGACACTAGCCTCTCTTCACCCTTTCAGTAATCTAGAAGACCTGTACTCTTCCTCAAGCGCTTTGATTTCTCTCTTTTAAAATAGATCAGTTTGCTTTGCAGAACACAAAATCATTTATTAGCCAAGACTGAAAAAGACAAAGCTCCATCACTCCAGGTCACTAAGTATCTTCATGCTCATGTTTTTGAGTCTCAAGATGGAACCATGCAAGAGTCTACTGACTTTCCTTGGAAACTGCTACAACCCAAGAGAACTCGCTGGCTTCCTGGAACAGTTTGCTTTCTTTTATGTCTTTACATAGGTTCTTCCTGACCATAGGGTTTTTCTTTGTTCTCTGTGCTTTTCATCAATCAAGGAGATCTTAAAAATTACTAAGATCCAGGTCACACCTGAATGCTGACTCACTGGGCTTCTGTTGGGGCCAAGAATTTGAATTTATTTTTTTCCACAAGTTCTCTGGGGGTGATTGTAAGGTGCATGTAGGCTCAAGAATCATCATTTAAACCATTTTGCTTCAGAGTATCAGTGATAAAGTCCAAGTCACGTATTTAATGCAAATTTATCCTCTGCTATGTAGTCAACACTGTTTTGCATTTCCACTTTAATGAGGCTTCCTGGAATATAAAGATAACTTGAATTCTGTGTCATAGCCACTGTTATAAATGCTATGAATGTTATAAACCACCTTCTCAATAGACCCAAGCTAATGATGGTAGATGGCATATAAATATTGTCTGTCTGCCTCTCTCTGTCTCTTCCTCTCTCTTTATCTATCTAGCTGTCTAACTCAATATATATGATATACTACTAGAATTAAATTTTAACTCTTTGCATCCATAGACTATTCTTAAAAAGATAGGAATCTGTACCAATTTTGGTTCATATTAACAACTTAAATATATTGCTGTAAGAATTTAATTTTTCACAATTATCAGTTTAAGATTTAGTGATTGCTATAAATGCTAATAATGCTTTGTAGAATTCTAAGGCCACATTTTAAATTGTACATAAAAATGATGCAACAGCATATTCTGATCCTTTGTGTAATACTTTTTATTTTGTACTTTTATTATAAATTATTTCTTCATTCATCCAGATATTATTTTAAATGGGAAAAGATTTTTACAGAAAAAAGGAAGCATTGATGAATCTATCTGTTACTAAATAAATAGATCTTAGTATATTAAAATTATACTCTTCTTGCTTCTAAAATAATTTACGGAGATTAAAATATTCATAATCACAATAGGGTAGGAAATCAAGTAAATAAAATGTTCATGGCAGTCATTATTTAACCTGTTACAGTGCAATCATTATTTTATTTTTGACATTTTTCATTGCAAACATAATTTATGACCCATCTCTGCTCTCCGATCACTGCTTTGGTGGAACAAGCATGTAAACACAGATTCTGAGATTAATATCTCCACATGAATGTCATTCTCTTTCTTGTTTTTATATCAAAATGAAACACTATTTCTCATGATTTCTTATTTTTCTTCTTTCAACTTATTAATTTTATTTACGGATTTCTGTATTCATCCTGAAAATTTTTCTTGTGTTAGAAAAGCCAGATCCTAAAAGATTTGAAAGTTATTAAAATAGAATTAAGTGTAGCATTTGACCTTTTTTTATCTTTCAATATCCATATATCTATTTTTAACCCACTTCTGTGTCTTGAGGTGATAATATGTCTGCCTGACCCTTGGAGTTCTTGCCTAAATTCAACATTGATAATACAATTTCATTGTGTAGTAGTATTTGCAGAGTATCTTTTGTGTGCAGAGCAATGTGATTTTAGGAGACTTGTCAGTGGTTTTATTTCTGAGGTGACAACAAAGACATCAATCACAGATACTGTGCAGTCAGCTAGTAGGGATAAATGGGAAAAATTTTATAAAAAGAAAATTCACACCAAAGGTGAAACATAGTAAATACAAATATATTTCTACATTTATTTAGATACAGAGTAAAATGTACAATGATACTAATATAAAGAAATGTGAGAAGAATTAGTAAAATAAGGATAGTGTTTCTTAGAGCACATTGCATGTAAATTTTGGCCCATAATATGTTTGCAATTTATAATAGAAATATTTTGTAATTGTTTTTCAATATTGTCGACCCAAATCAGTGAAATTTTATAAAGAAAACAATGTGATTTGAAGGTTTCTCTTTTACTCTTAGATTTAGCTATTCTAATAATTTGATTTTGAACTAGAATGAAAAAGAGAATTTTGTACTGTGTGTTACAATTTAGTATGTGAATGGTAAGATACTAGGGAGAAATACCAGTAATGTACTGTATTCTTAGCAAATCTTCTATCTACAACAAAAAAAAGGGAAATTTTGTGGAAGCATGTGATTGTCTTTAGCAAAACCAGTTTATACATTACAGGGAAATGCCACAATTTTTCTTAGCTTTCTCACTAATATCAAATCTTGTGCAGATAATTCTTAACAATTCTAGAATTCTACTGACCCCAGTTAATATTAGTTATTTGTACCTTGAGCATGTAAGCTACAAAAGTACAAAAAAAGCTCTTCATTTTTTCATTATTATCTGGTAAATTTAATTTGATGCTATATGGTGGAAAGAACAAGTTATAAAGTAAAAATATATACACTTCTGCCATCTTCACATTCACACAAGAGTTTAGTGGATATAACTATTGCCAAGAATAATTTCAGAAAGATATTATGGGACAATGTTTGATTGCTTTTCAAAATTATTGTTGATATGGAGCATAGCCACTATCTGATATTAGTTTACTCATTTAATAAGCCTAAGTGTTTCTTTTTTTATTTTATTATGTATTTCAGATAATCTGTACATTTCATCTATAGTAAATATTCAGTTTGTTCATTATCATCAGCATAATAAATTATTGGTTCCTATTGGATAAAGTTTTGCAGAACTTTTTAAATACAAATTAAAGATTGCACACGATTTTACTGTTTTATAACTAATTATAATCATAGTAAAACATATGTTTAGACTTTTTAGATTAGTTTCCATTCATTGTTTAAAAAAACTTTAACGTGATTCATACAATTTTAAATAGACAATAATTTTATAAAAAGAAGTAATAAATATACTTTAATTTCCTAGCCCTGCATCTGGAATCCTTTTATCAGCTGTAATTTTAATAATTATGTAAAGTTTCAGCGCATTAACTCTTTTAAAACTTTATATCTCACGGATGAGGTATTTTAAAATGATGTATTTTTTTGACATTGGGTTAGTTCAACACTTATTGCTACATCACTGATCCTTGTTTTTATGAATTCTGTTTGTAAAAAGCATTAAGACTATTGAATAAAAAAAGGTTAAGTATATGGAACTAATATATCAGATTTAAATGCATGTTTTAGTGAAATTTCTGTTTTCTTATCTTGGTTTCAGAAAGAAAATTTTCAGTTATCCAAGCTCCAAGCATTGTCTAAGATGATATATAGTTCACCAAGTCAATTTCAACATATTTAACAATTTTTATTGAATTAGTTGTCAGTAGATTTTAATGTATGTAATTATGTATTTTTTAATAAGATCATTTACAATCTTATATCTTAGTGACATTCAGAATCTTTTCTTTTGCAGCCATTTCGTAGAGTGACGTTTTCTGTTGTGAGTCAGCCTCAGGACCCACATCAGGGGTCACTGCAGAGTTGCTATGACAGCGGGCTGGAGGAGTCAGAAACACCAAGCAGTAAGAGTTCATCAGGGCCAAGACTGGGTGCCCTTCCACTCCCAGAGGACAACTATGAAAGGACCACGCCGGATGGCAGTGTTGGTGAGGCAGAGCATATGGAAAATGGTAGGGGCAAACACAACATCCACACACATAATCACGCTAGTGAGCCATAATAAGTAGGCTTGGCGAAGGTCAGTCTAAAACTAAAATAAAATAGCTGACACCAAAACTATTTTATTTTAAATAATAAATATTTACTAAAATATAGAAATGCAAAATAAAGCAACATAACTATGTAGATAAAACTCACCAAAATTGCACCATCATTTAAAAATGACCTGTCAGAAATAAATGCACATACAAATAAAACCAGAGCAGTGTTTGCTATGAAAATGCTAAATTAGAGCACAATTTCTCAATAATAGCCACCGAGAAAGATCTTTTCTGGTAGTTCTCTTCTACTCATTTTTGTCATGCAACTATTTCTTCAATTGCTACTGTCCAGTCTTGGTGAAAGGAAATGACCATAAACACACCTTGCTTGACTCCCCTTACCCCCTAGATTTTTAGGAAAAAAACATTTCAAAGCTCTCCTTTCAATGCTAACTGAAATTGAGTCAGAGAAGGAGAACAGCTCTGTCTTGCTCTCCACAGTATGCAGTAAATACTATTAGAGTTCCTCTCTCATTTAAGTGTAAGATGTCACTCACTTTTGTGCAAGAGAAAGGAAGGAACACAAATTATAATTCTCCATATTCTTACCCTTTTGTGAGGCTATTCTCATAATTATTACAATTTACCTTATGCACATTTTCATTTAGATCATAAAGTTATATTGCAGCAGTACTTATAAAACTGTTCACATTTGTTTATGTTCCCAAAGGCAATTTGGTAATCCATTTTCTGGATTTCAAATCATAAGTGAATGTTTGAGGATGAATTTATGTCAGTTAATGGAATGGTACAAGTTCTTCCTAAATTCATCATTATTTTGTATATAAAAAAGATATGGTCATATATAAGGGAAGGAAGGAGCATCAAGGAAATTTTGTTTTTAGTGAAAACTCAAAATGGATTTATGTCTTTCTCTATCTCAATCCTCTAGTGAAGTAGAAAATTTTAACTTTTTGTTATATGGTAGTTTCTTCAGTGATGATATGCTACGTACAGCATATTAATGCAGGAAAAAGATTGCTTTTTCCTTCTGTAAGTTTACCTATGAATATTAAAATCCAGTTTATATATATATATATATATGTATATGTATATATATTCTCATAAATGACCCCAAGTTAAAGAATTGCTAAACTAAATCATGCCAAATAATTATTTATTCACTCTATTATCAGGTGAGAAGATATGCTACCAGGGTTTGATAATTGATGTCCCTCTTGATTAATTATCCAAATGTTAAGTGGCATTTTGCCTTCTGGCTATAAAGGCATGCTTATCTGTGTGTATGGTGCTGTGTGCTTATGTGGATGGGAGTTTGATGTGATTTTTAAGATAAAATCTTAAAATTTTTAAGTGAGTATAAAATTTTGGTGTGAATTGAAGTGCTGATGAATATTTGAGGCAAGTCTATTCAATATTCTTTGGAGAAAAATAAAATTTAAAGATATTACATATATAACATATATGAAATATCTTTAAGTATATTTATATACAAATATTTAAAGATTTATTTAAATATAGTTTTTACCTACATATGTAAGCATCTATGTATACATATATATTTTTTATCTACTGAGGAAAGCAGTATTAATTTATTATTTTATTATTACTATTTCTTAGATCATCATTTGATAACAATTTTATGTTTTAAAAAGTGTTTATTTTTGTTATTAGTAATATAATACACAATGGAGCCTTTTTTGAATGTCAGTTATAGAAATAGAAAGGACTTTGTACACTGGCATTATAGAGACATTTTAATGTTATTTTCCATTTTTGTGAGTTTAAGGCCATTCAACATCTTTAAAATAATTAAGAAATTATGAATAATTAGAACATAATTAAATGTGACAAATACATATCAATTCCTTTTTATGAAGCATACATGTCATAGAAAACAACAGGTGAGCTTATAAATAGAACAGAAAGTTTACTAAGATTCCCCTCAAAAGGCTTTTAGTTCTTTTTGTAAACATCTGTTGTATCTTGTCAATAGCAAGGCCCATGATAATATAACTGCTTTTTCCTGATTTTGTATGTGACTGACACTTGAAATGCAGAGTTTATATAAACGATTTGGCATCTGCTAGCTGTGATTCATGTTGGTCCCAATGTATAGGTAATGACAGAAAGAGATGTGATACATTTTGAGTGATCCAAACGTAGCAGTGGACATTCGACTCACAGTTTTGATGGAGTTCCCGTTTTCAGACTACTCATCTAGCCAGAAAGCACAATTGTATTGCTTGAATTCTGGTAATTTCATCTTTGATATTAATGGGTCATTCTGACATAAATAGAATTGGAATTGAAACCTGTCAAGTATTCATTTGTCACATTTAATTGGAATCCAGGTAATCTGCAGTGTTTTGCTTGGTTAGGTTTTAATCAGGATTTGTATTGGATTTTCATTTGGATTTTCCATGAAATACTATTTTGGATGCCGTCCTAGTTCCTAATTATTACCTCATATATTTTCCTTGAATTTTAACCTGTGTGAAATAATGCAGTTTTCACTAACTGTTTTGGATTAACTTCCATTGTAAAGTTTGGAAGATAATTTGCAATGCAATAACATATAACATTCCAATATCATGATGCCAACCAGGAATAAGTTAGGATAGCTAAGGATAAAAATAAGTTGTCACAGATGCTGTGTCAAGGAAGTAACTGAAACAGGCAAATTTAAATAAATAGACATTGAAATGTATTTGTGTTTTACTAAAGCTTTTATCTGCCTTCTGTACTTTAGCATAATAAAATAATTTCATGTAGAAGGCCTGTGGGTTAATTCTTCTTTTAACAAGCTTTAACTTATATTCCAACAGACGTTGGTGCCAAATAAGGAATGGAGTTTTCTTCTCTGACTAGCTGAGGAAAAGGAATGCACTGCAAGAGTAAACACAATTTCATGCAACATGAGTATGGTAGAATGAGACCCACCATTTTGATGATCCAAATCTATAGACTTTATAGCCCTGGGGCTTTTAGAAAGTAATAATGAGAATTATGCCAATCAAAAACATTTTAGGAAAAGCTTGTGAATTACATATTCATTCATGGCAAAGATTACTAATAGTTAGTAATCAACTTTATGATTTCATACTGATCTTTTGATTGATGAAATTGGGGTAATTCATTCTTTACTATCTCATTAAAAATTAGTGGAATAAGATATTTTAAAACATGATAGCAAATTATTATGATAAAATGTTTGACAATGAAGAAGTTAAAATAATTAAAAGGTAGAGCAGCAAACTGATGTTCAAGTAAAAAGCAGATATTATCTTTAAAAGCATCCAATCTCACCCTTAGCTTGATGATACAGCAATCTTCAGATTTTTTATTGAAGTGTGATTTAATAGTGTCTTGGTCTATTTGTCTATATATCTTGGCCCACTGACCTATTTATTCTTTCAAAAGACCCCTCCAGATCATCTTTACAAAGCTAGTTTTCCATTTCTATGTGTGGCTCAGACACAGAGAACACTGAGTTGGACTTTAACCCCAACTTTGCCATCAGCAGTTTGTAGGTCACTTAATCCTTGTTTGTTTCTGATCATCTTTAAGTAATTAACTACATTAAATATGAAATCTTACTCCCATCCAACAATCTGTGATCCTCCCTGAACATCCAGTTGTCCTTGTGTTTTTTCCTCTAGAGAACAGAAAGAGACTTTGTGTTTCTTAGTGAGATGGAGAGTAAATTTTATAATATAAGTTAATGAGGTGTGGCAGTAGTAATTCTAAGGCCTTTTTCTCAACCCACAGAACATATGTGAGTTCTAATAAGAGGTAATGCATTTATTGTAAAAATCAAGAGTCTAACTGGTGATACTGGCCAGGTGGGTGGAAAGGTTGGCACCACAGCAGGGTAGTGTGGGAGACATGTTGGGATCTTCCCTTAATCATACTGTGCAAGGGCCATCTGGAGATCTGGTCTCACCCCCTGCCACAGTGCCCTTCACAGATAATTATGATTAAGACATGCCGCAATGGAATAAGTGTTTATTTTCTTGCTTGACAACTTAAACTGTGGTCAGATTAAGAATGAAGAGAGATGAACACAATGTGTTTTTTTCTTAAGTAAACCTTTACAAATAGAATGCCTTACAAATAATGTAGGAACACAGCAGGTAATCCATCAGACAGATTTTAAAAAGGTAAATGAGGTTAGCAAGTTGGAAACTCTAAATCCTTAATTAATTTTATGCTTCTTGATTTTCTCAAATCTTTCAGAAAAAGTACCTTTGACTTTTATACACCAATGTTTTTGAAATTCCCACTTCTGAACTTTCTTACTTTTTCAAATTTACATATGATAGATGCCATTGTTCTATTCATTCTTTATACCTCATCTCTTCATTAGACATGCTTTAAACAAGTGTTTGGAGTGTTTTGTTCTTGATAATTAAAACATGATATAACGCACCGTGAATCCATTTTGTATCTGCCATGAAATTTTAGAAGTAAATGCAGATTCATTGGGAATAAACCACCATTTTTTATAAGGCCAAAGGTAGTGAGAATGGAGAATAAACACATTATCTTTGTAGAGGATAAAGGAACCTCTCCATCTCCTTTTCTCCCACCTACCTACCCAATTATCGGCAGGTATCTGTCCACAAGGCACTGTTGTCCTCTCATTTGACTGGGTAATGTGACAAGGTGGCCTCTTCCATCATGCCCAAGAGCCTCACAGACTTCTGAATGGCATAAGTATTATATCTCAAAAACAAATGCTCACCCATACTATTTTTGTAGGAAAATAATAATACATATCACTATGGATTCATTTCCATGGTTTTGTGCTTCTTCCTGACATTTTGGTTGCCAGAGTCTCACTGAGATTAATTTTCCTACTTTTCCAGTCATCTGTGACATGGTTCTGAATTTCCCAAGTGTCCTCAAGAAGTATTCATGCCACCCATTCAGGAGGGCTGAATTTC